AGGATTTCCCAGATAAAGTGTTGCTGCTTTGATAAAGCTACTTTACCAAGTTTTCATAAAGTTTTCATAAAGTTGAAATATCTTTTAGAAAGTTGTACGACTGTCATTATGACTCGTCTCTACAATCCTATATTCCTTTCCCCGTTGATAACTATCACCGAATATAAAATTGCCACGAGTAACACAATAGGTACCACAAGTGGAGTAGGAGCCGTTTATCTTTTTAAGTATCTGAACCCCATCCCTGTTTTTTTATTGATTCCATGTGGACCTGTTCCTGTAGAGTGTTTTTTAAAATTTTTCTTTGTACTGGCAATTGCGGACTCATATGGGGCTTACAGGTTGTACGGTTCTCTTTGAATAAAAAAACCCACATTGATCCACTCCTGAATTGTGTTGTCTGTCCATTTTTAAAATGAATTTGAGTACCCCTTTGTAATTTCTGCCTTATTTATAACAGTACATGTGGAACATGTCTTGATTTTAACAGTATAAAGTAATTTTGACATGATAGGACCTAAGGTCGCATAAACATCCAATACAGGACATAGTTCCAAAATAAACGATCTTTGTCAGGTATTTCTGATATAAAATATCGTAAGGACAATGAAATGACACGAGATATACAGGAAATATTTAGTTTTTAAGGTGAAAATGCAAATTTTAACAAGTTTTGTAGTTTTTTTACTCAGTAATAACTACTCTAAACGTTTAGGAACTGTTTGAAAATAATTTTGATTAGTCATTTCATACTTATAACATTTGGGTCACGTTCTGTTCATTTCGGGTGATACATTACTTTTCGTGTGGTGATCTAAATGAGGTAAGGGATCGATTTTAGACTAGGGCACAGTTAGTTTTAGGGTAAGATAATGAACTACAAACGATTAGGATTTGGGTAAATTGAAGTTAATGATAGGGTACAGTATAATTATTGGTTTACTCAGCATCAATGTTCAGATTATGGTAGGCTAGTTGTGGGTTTCGGTAAGTATTTTATTATTTCAACTTATTTTGACCAAACTCTGTAAGTATTAGTACATATTAGATGGGTTGATAAAAAAGACGTTATAGCTTACATTTTTCTTAACTGAAAAATATATCTGAAACTTTGAAATATAGTCAAATATGGTTGAATTTAAGTTTAAAATTGAAGCATACCAAAATGGGTTAACAAATAATTTAAGTGTCAAATTGATATGTAGGACTAGCAGGTGCGATTTGGGCACTCAAGTGTGATTGTCTGCCGTTTTGGACGTTGTGTTTTAGTAAAAATATTTACGGTGATCTATCTTATTCATTGCTCTCATTCACAGCAGCCGAATTGATATGTTGCTTATTTTGTGTCCTTCTGACTAAGCAAGTAGTATTTAAATTACTAATAGCTTCCTCGTTTTTCACTCACTGAAATTAATACTGGTTGTTATGGCCATTAACCTTTGCATGTAGCGTCTATAATGGTCAATTTCTAAACAATTGTATGAACGTTGGATTATTTCTGTCCAAGCCTATTTACATAGTGAACAACAACATTTCAGTTAGAACTGCAAATGAACTGACTATTTATCATGACTTTATTTTAAATCAAACGCGTTATACTCTTGGTTTTATTCCAAAAAACTAACAAAAACAAATCGACTTTTAGATCGACATGAGAAAATGAATAATATTGTAAATATAGTAATCCATCGCACTTCAACGTTACCACCAACGGACTTTGGCGTAGATATCAACACGATAACGTCACAGTACCGCAATCGCACTTCAAAGTCATCATTGCGGTTCCGAGTACTATCCCGTTTGAGAGTCCTACAGATGTGTTGTAATTCGTGCCGAATTCATGAGCCAAACCCTTTCCAACTGATTTTTACGATTTGTACTATTTTTGAGCGATTTCACCAGTATCCCAGGTTAGGAGGACGGCTTAGCACAACTAGCATGTTTAACGCCGCCACATCCTTTGTATTAATGTCCCAAGTCAGGAACCATTGATTCAGTGTTTGTTGTTGATATTGTTTGTCATATTTATTTTTTGTTTATTATTTTAGGATAGATAAAATCGTTTGTTTAAACCCCTAAAATGTTTAATATTTTGTCATGCCGGGGCAACTATTGAGTGACTATACGCTATGGGTTTTATTCATTGGAAAAAGCCGTAAAGTGACCTATCGTTGTTTCATTCTCGTCCTTGACCTGTGGTGGATAGTTGCTCATCGGCAATCATACCACTTTTCCTTGTTTCTATATTTTGGTTAAGTAAAAGCTTTTTAGTCATACAAAATACACCAGTGTATAGAACACTGGTAATTGTTATTTAAGAACTTGTTCGAGAAAAAAAAACATAAAGGCGAACATGTCGAAAAAGATTTAACAGTTGCAAATATTAAAAATGATATATATATAACATTATATTATGAATAAAGCTAACCTATCAATGTAAACCTTAAAGTTGTGTGTTTAAAAGAATTCTTAGTGGTAATCCTTTAAATCAAATTACTAACCGGTTTTACTGTATGATATAGAGCCATGCACAGTCTGTCTCTTCACTACGTACACAATTAGGATCCAAGTGGCATTTTTTCGATAAGTTATCAAAACTACCACTACAACATGCATGCTTGCTGCTACATATTTTAACACATTCTATTGCCGATCTCGCCGTTACTTGAAGTGTTGCCTCTGACTTAAGAATGCTAGTTTTTGTTTTAATGACATAATGATTATCACGTGTCATTTGAAAGTTTGCATAACACTTTGCAAGGAAAATAATATACAATGTCTTTAAATATTGTTTTGCTTCCATATTGTTTTAAATGAAAATGAATTTCAGTGCGTCTAAATTTGATATGGGTAAATTATGTATAAAATATAGTGTCGATACAACGTAAACTTGATGGACAACGTATGTTTCAATGAATCTCCACACAGATGTTTAACTATGAATTTTCAGGTTTAATTTCTTCAAAATATCCATGATGCCGAGAAGTATTACAGAGAAATATAATGGCTGTTGTTATAACATTTTATTTATGTATGAGTATTCATTTACATAACGAGTCTTGCGATTAGTTTATTAACAAAATGTTTTTGTTGTTATATCAAATAGATCTTAATTAAATAAAGTATAAAACGGATTGGAAGGCAACGGAAACAAACGGTTTCTCTTAATTTCCCTGGACAGTTTTATATCAATATTGTCTGAACTCAAAATGTTGTAATTATTATTAATTTGTTATATTAATACTTTAAGAAAAATAACAATTTTATTTATTGTTATCTATTTGGTATAACAAATAATGTGCATTATGGAAGGAGGATTATGATTTTTATAAATTCATGATATTTACGAATTTGACAACACCCAACGTAAAGGAATACCGCTTTTCTGATCTTCATTTTAAAATCATTGCGTAAGAACAACAGAAATCAAAAGTTATCGTTCTATACGAATGGCATGTATGCAGGTTATTATCAACAAATATCAGTCATTAATATTAGTTTTCTCGTTTGAATTAATTTACATTTGTTTGAATTGATTTACATTTGTCATTTCGGGACCCTTTATACCTTACTATGCGGTATTGGTTTTGTTCATTGTTGAAGGCCGTACGGTGACCTATAGTTGCTATCTTCTACTTTATTTGGTCTCTATTGGAGAGTTGTCTCATTGACAATCATACAACATCTTCTTATTTTCATAAACTGTAAATCTAGAAATTATTGCGATTTTTGAAGAATGGACAAAAATACGTGATTAATCATTGAGATTTCAGGAAAATCTGCATACCGATGTATGGATCAAACATAAGAATGCGAGTTCTAATTATTGAGATACTCATCCAGTCGAATTATTCGCATTAATGAAAACCTAGCAATAATTTCTGAATTTACAATATATTGACGGCAACAATACCTTAGAAATACTATCATAATTTGCTCTTCGTAATACTGTGTGTAAACAACAAACATTAAGATAAAAATAGGTGGAAGATACAATTGCGGGTACATAAAGAAATATATTCAGTAAAAAAGTATAACAAAAATACCGAACTTCAAGTCAAATTCAAAAAGGGGGAGAATTCCATAAAAACTGACAAAATCAAACGCTATCAATCAACGGAACAAGTGAAAAACAACTGCCAAATTCCTGACTTGGTTCAAGCATTTTCCGAAGAAAATAATAGGTTAAACCTGGTTTTATACCTAGCTAAACCTCCCACTTGTTTATAGTTATTATAACGAAAGATAGTGCTTATAAGAATAACACAATATCATTCCTAAGTGCTTAAATTACGAATAAAACAATACAATTCCTATCAATTGTAAACATAAAAATGATACACGGAAGTATTCTCACTTTCCTATGCAATAAGAGCTAGCCTTATGTAAATTTCCCCTTGTTTTATGTATTTAATCTGTTCAGTGTTAAAGTAAAGCTATCACAGCAAGCACATTTGAAACAAAATAAAAGAGACCGCTTAAATGTGTTTACTGTAACTATATTTACTGTTTAAGATTTTATTTTTTAAGTGCTGTCTATGCTGGGGTGTAAACTTTGTTTATCTGAAAAAGGAAATGTTACAACTGATTTATGTTATAGTGATTCAGTTACAAAATGAAAGTAAGTGCTCTTCATACGGTGTGGGGTATAGCTCATTGTTGAATGTTGAACGTTGGTTGACCCTAAGATGCTAATCCCTGTCTAGCCTTTGTTAGTCTTGTATTATTTTTATTTTAGTTTCTTGTGTACAATTCGGAGTTTAGTATGGCGTTCATTATCACTGAACTAGTATATATATTTGTTTAGGGGCCAGCTGAAGGAATCATCCGGGTGCGGGAATTTCTCGCTGCATTGAAGACCTGTTGGTGACCTTCTGCTGTTGTCTGTTCTATGGTCGGGTTGTTGTCTCTTTGACACATTCCCCATTTCCATTCTCAATTTTACTACTGGTTAGGTTTCAAATGTTCAAAGAATATGGTACAGAAAGAAAGTCATGATATAAGTTAACTGTTACTTTTTTTTATTGAATATATGTGTTAATAAAGCTGAAACAGACAATACATGGATGGAAAATAGTATAATTAACATATATCAGATTATTTTTATCATTATATAATTGATGCTCTTTTAAAGCTTCATACAAAAACAATAGATGAATTTTGATTGCACATTTGTCCTGAATTTTGTTATAGCTATAATGATACAGTAGACAAGAGATATTATGTGTATAAATGTTAGCAGTTAAGGTGAAATGGTTTAACGATTTCAAATGTATAATATAATAATTTGAAGTTGAACGTGTACTTGAAGGATATTTCAAGTTCAATCCATGACATAAGCTGGTTCACTCAGCATTACAAATACAATACTTTGGACATCTTAACAATTTCAAACGATTTCAATAGGTTAAACGATTTCAAACGTATAATATAATATTTGAAAAAAAAAATACAGATTTCACCATCATATACTTTTACGCAATTTTATTCAAATATAGTTATTGAAAGAGGGGCGAAGGATACAAAGGGACTGTTAAATTCACAAGTTGAAAACAAACTGATAGCGCCATGGCTAAAAAGAAAAAGACAAACAAACAACAGAACCCAAAACACAAAGTCTGAGCAACAAGAACCTCACTAAAACATGGGGGCGGGAGAATCTGAGGTGCTGCGGAAGGATAAGCAGATCCACAGATATTGACAATTCATTAAAAATTAGAATGAGAGAGATAAAAAATCTATAAACAATATAAGCTAATGCCGGCCAGTTATTTCGACCTAAAGGGTAACTCAATATGAAGAATGAAAAAAAAAAATTGACAAAACAAAACAATTAACTTTCCGACTTTCGAAATTTATAGTGAATGCAACTAGTTTGAAGTTAGGGAAAATCATATTAAGACGCTAAATTCTTAACTATATAAATAGTTGAGAAATGCCAATGCATCTAAATCATAGTAAAAGATAAATTTGCGTGACTGCTTTTGAGATGTAAATATTTTAAAATTTATGTTTTTGGTGGTTATATGATTTCCCTTGATTTTCATATTAATTGTTTGGTACAAAAAAAGTCAATGAATATTAAAATGAAAACAAGTAAATGAAATAACATCAAGTTTTGTATGATAATTCAATATTTTGTCAGAAATGTACTTGATGTGTATATTTTCAAAGAATAAAAATTTATGGGTCATTGTCAAAACTTTTCGAAGGCATTGTCTAATAAAATGACAGAGAGGTTATCAATCATTATGGACAAGTTCAATATCCTTACACAATCAACCACTTAATAAGGACAAATTCGAAGAGCAGTACAAATAGAATACCTGGAGAATGCGATATACCAATTTTTCAAGTAGTTCTATGGATAACAGAGTGTTATGGAGTGGAAGGTGAAATTGTCCTTTCCAAAGTTCATCTCAGACCCCAAACAGAAATCTTTAACAAGGGCAATACTTGAAAAATTACTATCCTCATTTACCTTATTCAAGTGTTCACTTTACAAACTTTAAAACAAAGAATAGATTTACAAACTATAAATACAGAATTAATTTTTTATACATGGGACTTTTATCGCCCCCACACAAAATAAAAAAAATAAAAAAATTACTGCTTATATATACACAGAGAAAGAAAAGGCAAACAAACCTACACTATATAATACTAAATTCAAATAGAATAAAATTATTTATCAGTGTACATCATAAATTATTTATTTTTTTATATATATATCAAATCTGAATATTGTCAAGACAGAAATAAACGAACGTTTATAGATACAATTCGTATTCTTTTCTTTTATATACGTTCAGTTTTGTCTGAATTATTGATCATTCGTCCGGTAGTAGTGCCTGATTTACAGATCATTCGTCCGGTAGTAATATTCTTCACTTGATCCTTCCTGGAACATGTTCGACAGCTGATCCTTTACCTCCGCAAAACCTGAACGTTTGTTTGGATGATAATGCCAGCATTTCAACATGATCTTATAGAAGCTGAAACAAATAAATAAGATATTTGTTAAAAAGAACAATTCATCATCAACCATTATTCGTCCCTGAGAGAAAATTAAATGAATGATTTATATATACCAACATATTGTTATTCTAAGAGAGGCGAAGGATACCAAAGGGACATTCAAACTCATAAGTCGAAAACAAACTGACAACGCCATGGCTAAAAAAGAAAAAAACAACAAACAGACAGACAGACAAACAACAGTACACTAAACAACACAGAAAACAAAAGACTGAGCAACACGAACCCCAACAAAAAATTGGGGTTGATCTCAGATGCTCCGGAAGGGTAAGCAGATCCTGCTCCACGTGTGGCACCTGTCGTGTTGCTCATGTTAGTACAAACCCGGTGATAAGTCTAATTCGGAAGGTCACATTCGGGGAAGAGGGGGCGGGATTGTAGTTACGACAATTTAAACGTATCCGTTGTTATCTGTGAAACGGATATTCTATAAAGGTCAACCAACTCGTGATGGCGTCCGTAAAATTTACGAAGGGACGATTTCACCTTCACTATTTGGAAAAGTTGGTTTAATAGCTTCCTTGTGAGCAGAAAACCTCTATCTAGGAAATTATGATAGGAAATACAAGCCCTTAAATGTCGTATTAACTGGGAGATATATACTCAGTATGCATGCGCTGCTGGAATTTTGCTACCTAGAAATTAAAAGTTCACAGTTTGGAAGCTGAAATCATCTCTTTTGTCGTAAAGTTTTATTTTCAACCGACCATCATTGTCAATTTCTAGATGTAAGTCAAGATATGAGGCTCAATTAATTGTATCTGTTGTATCCTTTATCGCAAGTTCGATGGGATAGATGCATTCAAAATAGTCACCAAACTTTGAATTATTTAGTGAGAGAACATCATCTATATAGCGGTTTGTGAAGTTAAAGGATACTGCTAACTTTTTTTCTTTCTTCCTCAAAAGTTCCTGTATGACGTCAGCCTCATATGAATAAAGGAATAAGTCGGCAAGAAGAGAAGCACAGTTGGTTCCTATGGGAATGCCGATTGTTTGGTGAAAAACACGTCTTCCAATATGATAAGAAGATATCTGGCATTTATAACTGTGCTTCCAAAATTCCAAAATCGTTTGATAGAAATATAAATATAATCAAACAGACGTAACAACGATTTCTTTTTGTGATACCGGTTGCTGACATGCAAATCAACAACAATTCCATAAATATAGTTCTTTTCTATAGAGAATGTTTAATGTATCAAAACCGACATGGGCCCTTTTGTTTATTTTGAGATACACACATTTGAGAGAAAAACAACTCTTGGGAAGGGAAAGGAGGTGTTAATTGTTTTTTAAGGAAATGAAAGAGAAGAAAAATGGTTTTTGGAAATGAAAGAGAAGTAAGATTTTTTAAGGAAATCAAAGAAAAGAAAGGATTATTCAATTATATGATAGGTTATGTAGAAATACACAAAAGAGTTTGAAATATTATAACAGAAGAAAATATTTGAGATATATTTGCAAATAAAGAGTGGTGGATTGGCAAAAGAGGTAGGTTTAATTTCATTTGCATTTGTTTCACTCATAGGGTCAAAATCAAAAGATGTCAAATTCTACTATAATTTGAATATCAAATAGTCTAGGAATCTGATGTTCAGTAGTTGTCGTTTGTTGATGTGGTTCATAAGTATTTTTCGTTTCTCGTTTTTTATATATATTAGACCGTTGGTTTTTCCGTTTGAATGGTTTTACACTAGTAATTTTTGGGGCCCTTTCTAGCTTGCTGTTCGGTGTGAGCCAAGGCTCCGTGTTGAAGACCGTACTTTGACCTATAATGGTTTACTTTTATACATTTTGACTTGGATGGAGGGTTGTCTCATTGGCACTCATACCACAACTTCTTATATCTATATATCATATATCTACAATACTTGACAACAATGTAACATGTTTCCGTGAAATTAAAATGTTATCAAAAGCTACATGTTGAAGGACGTCTTTAACCAAAATGAATCGTATTTAAAAACGATATTTAGCTTTACAACTAACATAATGTTGCTGTTGGTTAGATATGTCTTTCCAATAAATTTTGTTTTGTATATACTAATAATTAGCTAAAAGCACTTAGTATTGCTGTCTTGACCTATCTTCAGAAGCTTATATTTTTGTCTTTTTATTTTAGAAATAAGCCATGCTATTCTTAGAAAAAAAAGTACAAACATACAGCTGGACTTGTGGGATTCTCAGAAAGCAGTGATTTTATGTTAAACAGGACCAACGTGTGAAATAAATTCTGAGGAATTGACCGTACATGTTTTGAAATGCATTACAAAGGAAAAAACCAGTAGACTTGCACAATATTAAGAAAGGTATAAAAATATGAGAAGCAAACATCCTACAAATGTTGTTGCTGTTTTATATAAGCACATGTATTTACATCATTTATATCATACTAATAATGCAATGAAATTAGTCGTGTTGTTTAATTTTCCAGTATCTATTTCGATGTCTTTTTCTTAAAAAGTCAAATTATGACAAGACATTACAATTTAAAGTGTCCTTTTAAGTTTTGATTTTTTGGCTAATATAAATGCATATGTGTGCCAAAGTAGTTTTGAATTTAGATATTGTATACACTCACGCATCATCACAGTACTCTGGTTTCTTCATTTTGTATCCTTGTTAAAGTCTAGTTGCAACTTCCCTGCTTTGTATTCCAGGGTAAGGTGTGTCGCCTGCAAATTTAAAAATATTTTTCTCTCATTCCATGGATTTTACGACGAAATTTCATCAAACATTCAATGCATATTGTCTCTCCTTTTTCAGTAGCGGATATTTTTCAATCAATAGCTATGGATATATTAGCCAGCTTACCAGTAATAAGCATATTCCGACACTACTTTTCAAATTATGTGGCATCTTTCATTTTGTAATTACAAACTAGTTGGTAAAGAGCGATTGGGTAGGTTAGGATAATTGTAGATAAGCAGGTATATCCACGTTCAACATTTAGCTAATACTAGTATTACATCGTCATTGTTGCCAATGTATTCCTAGGTAAAGGGCATTAAACGTTTTGTTCTACATATATACATAAGGTACTAATATATTTCAATCTATTCTCAACCATAAACATTTTAATATGAGTGATAAATGTTTTACGGTTAATATTAGTATTCAGTTTTCTTATTGAATCAAAATTAACATGTCAGGTATACAAACGACCTCCCCCCAAACAAAACCCACACTAAAAAGGGAAGTTGTGACATGGTGCGGAGACAGTTATATGGGTACTTGCAATCACCAAATCTTGTATTGACGGAGGCATCTTTTTATCTACATTACAGCTTTTTTCTAAAATGTCGATCAAGATTAAAAATACAAATGCAAAGATGAGATAATACGACAAGAATCTTAAGAAGGAGAAATAAGAACATAAAATTTTGTTTCTATTTCACTTAAAATCATTGGTTAATATTGGTATTAAAAAGCAGGTCATGTTCCTTTTTCTAAGTCTTGTCGACTTGAAAAATAAATTTAAAAAAATTAAATTTAAGACTAAAAAACATGAGAAAAAAGTTAGTGAACTGAAATTTCTTGTGTTGCAAACTGGGCATTATAATAAGATAAGATAAGATAAGAATGTTATTGATCTAATCAAGAACCAATAAAAGGCATCATTTTACAACAATATTATGCACAATATGATTGGAAAAAAGAAAAACAAGAACCTAATATAATACTATCATGTTATGGACAGGATCAGAGCCTAACACTACATGTGTCTTACATAACTATTACAATAATTTCATGATAATGAAATATTATTTTATATATTTTGTTTCCACCTGGATCTTATTTCTAAACACTTCATAACATAATTGCCTAGGCACATGAGAGTTGGTAAATGCTCATTTGTGAACAGCCATAATATAAATGTATAGAACAAAAGATCGCTTACCCAATGAAAATATTTACTTCATAACAATACCGAAAGAGAACACGTCACTCAATTCATTTGCATGCTTTGTTGTTTTCATACATTCTGGTGCCATCCATTTCAGTAGTATACGTTCCTAGAGAAAAAATCAAGATAAATTATTACTAGTTTATTAGTGTAAAACACTTTGAGTGAATATTTCGAAAAAAAACATATGAATGAATGAAGAAATGATAGCTGGAATTAATGAAAAAGTATGCGGAGATGTGATTTATATCTATCCTTCAAATAGTCATTTAATTAGTATAATATTATATAACATTTCACACATAATTATTCAAAAAATATCTTTCAGTATTCGGGACACAAAAATATATTCAAACTGAAAAATAAAACTTCATTGAATACACCGAACATTTCTATACATTTTCATTGTCTCGAGATACTTGTGCGTGCATCTATAGAAAGCTAATATAAAATATGAATTAAATACAAATACAAATACAAATACACCAAAAACCGTCTAATTTAATGCAGAAATCAGAAGAATAATGTCAAATATGAAAGATGCTATTTAAACTTACTTCCCCCTCTTGTTCCGCTTCGGGTTCTGGTCCAAATCCAGTTATCTTCGGTTCAAACAAATGATCCAAAAGAACATTTCTGGCTGCTAATCTTCTGTGGACAACCTATCACAGACAATAAACTACATACTTAAGTAAAAAATTGAAAAAATTGCATTTGAACTTTAAAAAGGCCCAACAATTCAAAAAGGGTTATACGTAAATATGTAATATCAATATCATTCCAGAACATATGCCGATAACCTCGTGCATTCCATTTTTGTTCATATAGAAATAATCATAACTGTAGATTATTCCTTTTGAAGTATTGTATGAGGATCCTTTATGCGTTGTTAACTGTTTAAGCAAGACATTATAATCTAAAAGGCCACTCTTCATGTTACGTGATACGAATGAATTTTATTTGTAAATTATGATCTTTCTCTTTTCTGTATTGTACCTTTTTAGATGATAAATAGTCCATTCCAAGACAGATTCCAAAGACCATTCTAAACGGCCTTTCTTCCAAATCAACAGTAACTTCGGACTTCTTTGAGATAAGGAACTCCTTCAATACCCCACTTTCACAATATTCCAGTACCATAAATGCTCCTCCTGCAAACATTTATCTTTGTGAAATAATGAAGAACAATAGGTATAACTTATAAGATAGCATACACAAATATGGAAATCATGAAAGTACAAAACAGTGTCATAATATGGTAATCTTTTGTAAAATGTCAGCCAAGATAAAAACTTAAAATAAGGTAAATGATCGTATTCACAGACTGCTTTATCAAATCCATTTGACAACTCAATTTGATAGCTAATGACTAAAAAAGATTTAAAATTAAATATGGACTGCAAATAGTTGACCATTGACAGACTGACGGACAGCAAAAATATAGGAAAAGTTAGCTAAAGGATTTAACAGTCTTTCATAAAGACCTATATCTACTGTGTGGTCGAGATTGAGAATCAATATTCTGACATAAACCAACCTCTTTTATAATGTCACCGCTGTTACTTCATGTATTTGTATACTTACTAAAATCGTCTTCTACATATCCTATAAAATCTACAACGTTTTTGTGATGTCCGACTTTTTCTATGTAAAAGTTGATTTTAGCCTTCATCTTCATAACATTCTCTTCTTTTTGGTCATCTGTGTAACATGACGAAGTTTAAGTACCACTAATAATAATTAAAACTATCAAGGTATGATATAAATCAATGTTTTGGTGGTGACATTAGTTTAATGATTCACTTTTACTCACCTTTCAGTAATGGAATTTCGTAATTTCACTAATAACTTATCAATCAGGGATACTATGCTTAAACTTGCAGTGAGTTGAGAGTTTTTGTATGCTCCCTGTTGAAGGCCTCACTGTGACTTTGAGATGAAGAACAGCAATAAAAAGCGCTGCTCCTTTGCTTTTTGTGTGTTTTTGGCTGTACATGTACTGATTTTGTGTCATGGTCCCCATATCATTTGTTTCTTTATTATAAATTAATACGCTACACGCGCCTTACGTCTACACAAGGAACCAAAATATATGGACAACCAAATAAACTACGAAGTAGAAGAGCATAGTTACTGTAAATCGCCACCAAAATAAATAGGTTTTACTGTTTTATTTAGACTGTATCAATCACGATGACCACAGATATATTTGATTCATAAAACATTTTTGTCTGAACTACTATATCGAAAGTTGATGCAAAATGCATATTGTAGTCACTAAAAATCGCTCTCCAAAATTAACTTCATCACAACTTGTACTTTACATGTAACTTTGGTTGCCTTCTACAGCTTACTTTCTTCTGATCTTGTGGTGTAGACAGGTTAAAAGTATTTACAACGCGCTTGCGAGTAATATAATTTTAAAAGAAACTTAATGGCATTGGTATTTTTGTAGATAGTACATTATCATCATCTTCATTATACTCCTGATATCTTTGACGAGTTTTTTTATATTGTCTCGAGCAATCACAGTTACATATGGGAGTTATTTTGTAATTTGCATCCGTCACTCCTTGGGTAAATGAAAATAACAATATATGTTTGATGAGTCTGAGGCGCTTTTCCGGATTAACCTTCACGAGGAACGCTAAATTTCATAATTGTGAATGCAAATGATATATAATTAATGAATGGAAAGGGACCTTTATACAGTGCTATCACTTTTTTTTATTTCTGTGGTATAACTTAGAAATAACATTTGTTGAATTTAATCTTTCTGGCATACATTCTTATAAAAATACCTTTTAAAACTTTAGCAACAACGGTTTGGGCGTCAGGATGGTTGCCATAGTATTTGGCTAAATAAATTGTTGCAAATCTTCCTTGTGCTAACTCGGATTCCATGGATATGTCTTTAAGTGAAATTTTTAGATTCGTAGCGCCAGAAGATTCCATTTGTCCATAGAAGTATATATCATCATCAAACTTAGAGCTATACGCCCGGTTCTACAAAACAAAGATAGATTTGATTAAATTAAATTCAGACAGAATATTGACTGTTATGAATTTAAAAATTCTAGCTGTGTTTATGGCAGAATTTGTTGTAAAGAGGTAGGACAAAGTTCCCATATATTAAATTTTATTTCACTTGCAAGATCGATATCTTAAGTCGATGTCTCAAGTCAGGAGCTTGTAATTCAGTGGTTGTCGTTTGTTGCTGTATATCATCATATTTATTTTTCGATTTTTGTTTTTATTTTTTTTTTACATTTGTCATATCTTGGCTATTTTAGCTTGCTATGCGGTATGGGTTTCGCATTATTGAAGGCCATACGATGATCTATACTGCTTATTCTACGTCATTTGGTATCTGGTGTATACTTGTCTCATTGGCAAATATACCACGTATATATGCAAGGATGTTTTACGAGTATCTTTATATAACTCCTGGATTTATGAGAGTTGTTACTTCTTAAACTTTCTTAACACACATTTGATTATATTTAAAAAACTAACAAGGACAACTAAAACGTTTAGACATCAGACCAATTTTGGAACAGAAACCAAACCCTTTTTGACTACCGAGCAAACACAAAAAAAAAAAATGAAACTATAAAAATAAATTTCTTCTCGTTGGCCCTATTTTTAAGGGCATAAATAAGGTTAAAAGTAGTATAGATAGCAATACTTTATCTATCTACACCTATTGTAAATTAATTTCTTCAACATTTCTAGAAGTAAACATGTTTCCTTTGGTCACATTAACCCAACACACATGTTCAGAAAGCAAAACCTATTTTAGAATTATTCCTCTATATTGATCTAAATACTTGATGAGATATTTGTCTATCTTTAACACCGTTCGGTGATCTTATTGTCTTTATTAAAAAAAAATACACTTCACTATATATAACCTCATAGTAAGATTTTTTCATTCATTATAACAATATTATTTGTATATCTAAGTAGTACGTACATTATATCCAGCATTGGTATGTGAGCGATTGTATACGAATAGTTCTTATTCCTTGTGTCATTCTTGCTTTAGCGGGCTGTAAACGTCCAGTACGTCCAAGAAATAACAGAACCACCACAACAGCAATCAAAAGCAATATAAACCCTGAAAAATTGTGAACGATGATTGATTTACTATTAAAATAATTAAATATAATAAATAGTAATATCTTAAAGAAAACAAAAGTGAAACATGGAATGATCAACAAATAATCAAAACAACAGAGGAACACAATACCAATGAAAAAGATATAAAATAGGTTTCACATATGTAAAATAAATGTGGAAATACTCACTGGCAGATAATCCTGCAACACCGCTTTGTGGGAATCCTACAGCTGAACAGGTAAGAAATGATATATTTTTTCACTGTAACCAAACGATTTTATAGTATAACATTTTTGAGGAAACAACAAAGGTTATAAATCTTGACATCTTTACTATATTAAATGGTCGTCTGATCTGTACCGATGGTGTCCTATTCCCGTCGACCACCCTTTTCTCGCTATTTTTGGAGTTCATGTGATAACCTTAGTTTTTGTTTGTTACCTTTGTTTGTCTATTCTTTGTCGATTTACGAGGTTTGAACATCGGTATTCTACAGTCGCCTTCATCTATACTGGAACAGCAATCGTTTAAGATTTCAAATGTTTAAAAAATCTCACATCAAGAATGTACTACCATAACTTTTCTTACCACTTATTTTTCAGAATAGGAGACTGGTCAATTCGATGTTTCGAATACAATATTTGTAAATGCATTAGCTTCCTAGATATTTTGCCTGAATCCAGCTTATACCCAAACTTGTGTCTGATGTTTTCAATATAGTAATGTTTGATGGACTATAATCTAGAAAAAGAAACATAATATATAATTTGACGAACATATGTCATGTGAACTATAACAATGAATTAAATCGTTATATCTAATTCGTCTAGGCGACATGATTGATAAGATTTGGTTCGTTTAAAATATACCATATGTTTTGAGGGCGAATGTTATTTACACCTTTCTGATGTGCATTTTCCTTCAAATCAATTATTGTGTCATCCTTCGGAATATTATTGTTTTTCCTTACCGAAATGTTTGTTTAAAAGATCTCTTCTTTCCCTTAGGTTTGTATATTTTTGATGAAATCGTTTTTGTTTGAAAGGGGTTTTATATATCAATAGATTTGTTTTAAAAGTATTTTGGACGCTTTAGTTATCAGTAATGTATTTGTGCTGAATTTATTATCATGTTTATATACAGTCTGAAAACATGAACCGATTTGAATAGGTGATGCCTAAAGGTTAGAAAACAGAAATTCAACAATCTCTCAATTGAATGTTGTGTAAATTCAGAAATTATTGCGAGGTTTTTATTAATGCGAATAATGGGACTGTGTGAGTATCACAATAATAAGAACTCGCATTTTGATATCCGAAACATACATCTGCATGCATATATTCCTGCAATAGCAATTATTAATCTCTCTTTTTAGTCCAATTTTCAAAAAATCGCAATAATAAATGCACGCAATAATTTCTGAATTTCTGAATTTACAGTAGTGTATTTGACCCGAGTAACACCAGCAAAATAGGAACTGCAAACGCGTCTGGATCACAACCATTTACCTGTGATTTCGTGTTGCTCAATCTTTTGTTTATGCCTTTATATAAAAATAAGGTGATATGGTCTGATGGCAACTGAGACAACTCTCCACCAGATACCAAATAACATAGAAGTTAACAACTATTGGTTACCAAACGACCTTCAACAATGAGCACAACCCATTCCGTATAGTCAGCTTTAAAAGGCACTGAGACGACAAATGGAAAACAATTCAAACGAAAAAACTAACAGCCTAATTTATGTACAAATTAATGAAAAAAAAAACAGAAAAGAAAAGAACAAAAATGAATTATGAAGATGTGACGGTACGACTTAAATGACTCCGTATGAATTCGTATTGCAAGAAGTCAGCTGTAATTCCGCAACGAAATTGTTCATCTCGATTTGTAAGTCAGCATTAAACACTAATGTACCACAAAAATCAGCTTTGATCGCAGGCTTCACAAAAAGACTGGAAGCCATTAGTCAACCGGAACGAAAGGTAAACTCTATCTTCGAGTAATAATTAAACACTAAAGTACAAAAAATAGCTTCATTTTTGCAGGCGCTAAAAACAAAAGTCTGGACAAGTTTCATTTTTTGAAATTTTTCCAGGGCTGTAATTTTGTCAAAAGTTGGACATCGGAAACGAAACGCAAACTCGATCTGTAAGTCATCTTATACACTAATGTACCAAAAATCAGATTAATATCTACAGACATAACACAAAAAGTCAAGAACTTTGACTGATGTCAGGACGGAATGCGGGAATGACGGATTGATCAAAAGACGTGTGCCAGTATATTTCTCGGCCATTTATTGATTAGGGCTGGAAACCGTTTATGAACGTTGAATTCAAATATAAAAACTACATCGTTTCTTAAAAAGAATTTCTGTTGACATTAATGCTGGCTAACGATGTGAATGTTTAGTTCATATCAGTTTCAATATATAAAATACGGACCGCTATTTTGAACTGTATACGAGCATTCTTTTTAGGCAATTCATGATGACGTTTTAGTTCATTTTTGGTGATGTCCATTTGAAGTGGTTCGGTAATTATACATCCCGTCATTGTATTATTGTGCTATAGT